AGGTGTCCCTGCCATGGCAGGGGGGTTGGAACTGGATGGTCTTTGAGGTCCCTCCCAACCCAAACCACTCTGATTCTATGAAAACAAAACCACCGTGGGTGGCTGTGTCACAGAAACGCCGTGCAGTGCTATAAGCTCCTGTCTGCAGATCAGATAGCATGGAGGATGGTTTCATGAAAATTACCTGTGGAGCATTTGGCATCATGTCCCATAGAAAAACACCCTGTTACTATCTCCTCTCCCTGGAGTGTTTTCAGGCATTTGAGCACAGAACAAGCCGTGGCAAGTTAACTGGAGAGGAACAGGAGGTGGCTGTCACTTGTTCTGGTAGATGAATGCTGGCTGCACCGCGGCTGTGTTGCTGGTGCTGTTCTTGTCCCTGGATGCTTCTTTTTAGCATAGCTTTGAGCCAGCTTTTTGGTTGCCTGTAACCAAATGCCTTGAGAGTGTGTTCTCCACAGCTTGTGTGTTTTCTGTTTCTCAGCCTGGTATTTTAACTGCTTAATTCCCTGTGGGCTGTGAGTGATCCTGGAAGATCACTTAACCACAAGCCATAAGTTAGTGCATGTGCAGTCACAAGCATTTGTCCTTATTGCTGGGTTTTCTGCTGACCCAGATGTGTCTGTATTGTTACCAGCTTCTAGGGCTGGACTGTCAAGTGTTCAGCATCCATAGCTGGGCCTGGCTTTGCTGTGCCCACATTAGACTGCTTCATCTTCTTGGGGACATGAAGGTCTTTTCTTTGTGTTTACGTGGACCAGCTGATTCCAAGTGGATAGACTGGCCCTTTTCAAAGTAAAAGAGCAGTTAAGATACCTGCAGGCTTTGCATTCAGCCCTGCTTTTTTGGTCAGTTCTGTAATTTACAAGGCTCATCCATCCCTTTTGCACCAGAAATTAACCTTCACTTTGACCATTTCCATCCTCCTTGAGTTCAGTCCTCCGTTCCTTTGCAGTACTGGTTTTGTCACTCCAGTAAGCTTGCTTTGAGAAGCTTATCTGACAAGCTTCCTTTGAGAGAGAATGAGGGGTCTGGGGACACTTTTTTACTGTGCAAGGAAGTGCTTTGTTGCCTGGAAGAGTTAATTTTTTGGATTTTTCTTTCCAGGACACACTAATACCAGAAGAATGGAAGAAATGGGGAAAAACAAAGCAAATGCCTTCAGAACGGAAGTGAATAAATAACTGAAAGACCAGAAGAAGGAAGGCAGAAGCAGATTTTTTTTTTTTTTTTTTTTTACATAGTAAGTCAAAAGGGTGCCAGTTACACTGTTTTTACAATCTGATTGTCAATGTTGTGTTCATGCTACTTGAGTGCTTTTCATATGAATCTGGAAAATCCTTTCTTCCCTGGATCCTCCCCCCTTTTTCTCCCGGGACATTTGAATTTCCTTTAGAAAAAGAGGAAAAAGAAAATACAATTCTGCCTTTCCTCAGGTGCCCTCTCCTCATACTAAACTATTTGTGAATAAAGAGGAAAGAATGGTCTTAAATTTGGGGGTTTGGCTGTCTCTGAGGCTCTGATTGGAAGTTGGGCTCACATGAGAATGAAAAGAGCTTTTTCTGGTGGCTAATTTTGTGTATGAGTCATTGCTGTGTGAAGCTTCCTGTTCTTTCATGTCCTTTCCCAGAAGGACATGTTTATTAGAGGGCTCTTCCACTCCTGCCTGTCCCGTGTGTGACGTTGTCATCTGCATTGCTCCGCTAATGGCTCTTCTCTCTGACTCCAGGATGGCGGCAGGCTGGGCTGAGCTGAGCTGCTGTGGGCCCTTGGGGCTCAGGCAGGAGGTGTCCTCAGGGCCTGGCCCTTGCAAGGAGCCAGCTGCAGTGCTGGCATGCCTGGCTGGGTCTGAGCCTGGCCGGTTTGGTTGGGTCCCTTGAGGGGGTTCACTTTCTTTCCAGGCTCTGGAAGTAACCTTTTCACTCCAAAGACAAGTTTGATCGAGGTTATTGCCTCTGTTCTGTGAAACCAAATGCCAGGAATCTGCTGGTTGCCCTGTGGCCACGTTAGGAGTTACTTGAGCTCTGACTTCTCAGTTCATTGCTACCTTCAAGACCACTAAGCAGTGTTGCGGCAGCAGACTTGGGCTTTGTTGAAGGACAGGCTGATAGTAATAACCAAAGGCCAGATACTCCTTCCTGATGAGCAACTTCCACATGGGAAACTTGACAGTTGCTCCCTCCCCTGCATCTGTGTGTTGGCTCCTGTTTGTCCCATGTCAGACTTGTTTCTGTAAAAGCCTTTTGGCAAAGGAACTTTATCAAATGTCTTTTGGAGATCCAAGAAAATTGTATCAGCCAGCAAGCATGTGGATAAAAGGTGTGGAGCCAAATCCTCCAAAGATCTTTGTGTGTGTGGGACATGACTCCACTTTATAAAACCCATCTTGCCTCTTCCCCACTGCGATAGTTCACACTTAGCTCACTGTTTCTGTTCTTTGTAATAGTCCCTACCCCTTTGTTCGTTGTGAACGTTATACTGGACACATAGAGGTTTAATGAACTACTTTGACCTCCTGTGCACTCCTTCAAAAACCTGATCTCATGCTGCATTCAAGTCCTCTGGAGCTAAGTGAGTTTTAAGCAAGAAATAGTTAAGCTACTATTTGTAGTGTTTTACCCTGGAATTCCTTTTCACCCTGGTGAGTTCTTTTTGAGCCTCATATTTTGTTACTGCTCACCTACCATCTTTGGTTTATAACTGATTTCTTCTATGGATGCTTCATGATAGGGCAGTACTTTCCCTGTGCCTGTAGAGCTCTGGCACGTTACCAAAGGAGAGCACAGATGCAGAAAGAAAACCATGGAGTACTACTGTGATGTATCTTCATTCAGCTGTGTGCGTGATGCTGTTGATTTTCTACCTCCTTGGCCATGTGTTAGGAAAAGTTGCTTTTATTCTTTTGGCCTTTTATTCCTTAGATATTTTCTGTTTCACTTTGTTTGGTTTTGTATTTAATCTCCCAGAGGTTGAGCATTTTTTTTCATGGGTTCTCTGTCCAGCTGTACTGAGAAGCAGAAGGATGGCTTATGTCTCCCTGTGACAGCTGCCTGTCTGCGGAAGAGAACAGATCACCCATTAGTGCACTTGCTGCTGTCACAGCCTCACTGATCTCCCTTGACATCACCTCGTTGCTTCCCATCCTGATGGGCAGTTTGTAATATTTTCATAGTGCTGGAATTGTAAAACCTGACAGGAATGTCATCTGTAGGGGCACAGCGCACGTATGAACTAATTTCCATGCACACTGAAGCCTGTTGTGCTAAACCACGGTCACCTGAGGAAAAATGAGATGGTATCTGCTGCAGACTGTCAAGGAATTGTTTGGGTGCAGAGATTGGGTGATTTCAGAGGCTTTAATATATGTTCACACGCCACAGTATTTCCAACCTGGTATTGAGTTACTGGTACTGGGCCTGGTACCTTTGTTAGCACAGCTCTGAGTCATCCTCGGTGTGCTTGACTGCTGTCTTTGAGTGACATCTTCCATTCTGGGCCCACAATCAAGAAACTTAACATCTCAACAAAGAGCCATCTTGACCTGCTGTTGGACAGGTTTATTTAGAACAACTTTTATTTCCTGCTTATGATGGGAAAGCAGACCCCATCCTGAGGTTATTTACATTTCTGAAGACATAATTGTTACACAAACCATAGGAGAATTGGGGTGACAGGGAAGGAAGTAGCTGTGTGAGATCACTCAGTTAATAACTTCTCTGAAAACATTTACAGCTGTAACTCGCCATGGTGGAGTTCAGAGCCACTGGATGGCATGGTGAATTAAAACATAGTGACAGCCCAATCTGATGCACAGGGATCTCCTCTAACTCTTGCGGAGCAGAGCCATAGCTGCAGTTTGAACACCTCAAGGCTGAGCAGTAACTGTAGCTGAGCCTTTTGGAGTTCAGGTTTGCTGCCAGGGCTCTGTATCAAGGAGCTAGACAGCAGCAGCCCTCAGCGGTGTTTCTAACGGGTGATAGACATGTGGATTCATGTCTTGCCTCGCCCTGATCCGAGCTGCGTGTGTGGTTGTGCCATCAGCATCTATTTAGAGGAGGCTGTAATCAATTTACTAAGTTGCCTAAAGGTGCCTTTTGGTGGCCTCATGTTTATTAATCAGGCCCTCAAACAGAATGATGACTTGGCAGAAATTTTGCTACGCTTTGTGATTTGAAAGCCTTAATTAGTAGACAATATGTCCCCAGGATTACAAGTGTACTGGTTGTTTTAGTCTTTGTATGTAAAGCAGCCTGAGGATAAACCATGGAGGTATTTTTTTTTTTCTGATTCAGGACACAGACCAGTATTTAGAGAGGGGAGTTAAATTGTAAAGACTGATGTAAATGAAGTAGTGCATCAGAACTGCATTCCTTTGAACAGATCTGAGGAGTGTGTGCATCAACTTCCAGCTGCTGACATCTGGGAATGTCTTCATTGCTGTGAAGGGCTTAATGTACAGTGAGATCCATGAGCTCTGAATTATTCTAGACAGAAGCAGGAGGAAAAGAGAATTATGAGAAAACTGTGAGCACGCACCCAAGTCTTTTCATTGTTTGGTGGCTTTTCCTGGCTGACTTTATTTGTGGAAAGGTAACCAAGTCAAGCATGGCAAGAGAGATGCTGAAATGCCATGCTCTCCCAGCTGAATCCATAGGCGTGATTTATGTAAAGTGCTGATCTTCCTCCCCTTCCCCAACCCCCTTTTTGTTTAGTGTGCACACAGGTCTCTCCACACCCCTTTACATTGTGCTGGCTAGGGTTGGGCAGGCTTAATTTCTATGGGACAGAGGAGTAGGATGAGGTGGCTTCAAACAGGACAACTGATGTTTGTGTGAGTGAAGGTATTCCCAAGGGTGGACTGGCTCCTGGCTCCCAGTCCCCCAGGGCTGGCAAAATTTAGAGTGTAATTCAGGTTCCAGGTGACTACTTTCAGGAGTGAGGGGTACAGAAAAGAGTAAGGCTTCCTCTCCTGTTCAGTGCAGGGAAAGCCTGAAATGTCCCAGGGAGCTAGAGGCAGATTCTGCTCCCGGGGAAGACTTTTGTCTGCCTTTAGCCTAGCTTAGACACTTGGCCGTCTCAGCTAGCTTGAATAAGGCTGCTTTTGGTTGCTGCAAGACTGTTCACAGACATCCACGTGGAGCTTCACGCCACTTGTGGTCTGTCTGTTCAGGCTAACAGGACTTTAGGTACTTGGCAAAACTGATCGGAATTTTTTTGCCCTTAAATTGCAGCAAGGACCCTTTTTCATGGGCAGCAGTGGGAGTTGCTTTGCTGAAGGAGAGCCTTCAAACTGCTTGAGCAGTGCAGCAGCAGCATGTTATGTACAGAATTGAGCAGGGAACAGCACTCACCAGAGCATGGGGGGATGGAAAATGGAGAAGTATTTACATGAGCTTAACCAGGGTGCTGGGAAAGCCTTCTAACCGACTGCTGTTGATGTCCTGAGGCCTGTGAAAGAAGAGAATCCGACAGTGATGGCATAATTGGGATTGAGAGAGAATTTTTTTTTTTTAATGCTGTTCCTTATCTACACCCTACTTGCCCATGTAAGGGAAGGGCTGGGTTATGAGGTCAGGTAAGAGCTTTATTCTTTCCCTGAGTGTCCCTGAAAGATGACGCTTAATCCAGTAGCTTCACATCTGGAAGCCAGACAGCAATAAGGACCTTGTCTTACTCCTGCAGCGAGCAGATAATGAACTGATTCCCACCTACCTTTGATTCTGCAGGATGGCTCCCAGGAAGTCCCTTAGTACCATCTGTTGGTGGTAGCGGCTGTCCATCAGGATGCTGTCAGACTGGCGCCTTGTCAGAAAGCCGTGCACCCCTTCTGGGCTGCTCTCGCTGCTTCTGTTACGTGAAGATGAGAAACATTTTTGTTTCAGGGATGCTTTTTAGTCTCTCACTCAAAGTTTGGCTCAGGCTGAGCAGCATAGCGAGGGAACCCGCTGGACTGAGCCTAGGGCCATTCCGCTTAATTTCAGTAAGAAATTGGTCAGCTCTATTTGCTCCTGTGTTGGAAGAGGGATTGGAGCTGGCTCACATCTGACTAGCTGGTCTTATTTAGTGGCATTCACTGATCTATCTAGCCAAAGCTACCCAAGTGGTAGTGGAGAGGCTGTTTTCTGTGTTCAGACCAGGCCAGGGGTAACTTGCCTACCAGTGAATGATCATTGCAACTATTATTTGCAAATATTATTGCTTGTTGATATTATGGTAGAGCTCTCAGCTGATCTGACACTTACAGCTTTGGAGGAAAGGATTAATTAGGCTGCTTAACGATAGTTGTGATTAGGGGGATCCGAGACACAAGGATGCAGGATGCCCTTCGGGGTGTGAAACAGCAGGAGAGATTGCTTCTGTTGCAGTGGAAGGCAGCTATTTCTGCTACGTGCATGAAAGAAACTGCCCAGTGTAATAGGCCAAACATTAGCCCTAGGATAGCAAAAGGCCGTGACTTACCCAAGCCGCTTGCCAATGATGGTCTGTAAGAATTTGCGGGCGGAAATCTGCCCCAGGAATTTCCGGTAGTTGTCGGTGAATATGGCATCAGCGTGGCGCTGCATCCTAGGGGTGAAAGACAAGCACAAGGCGTGCTCTCTGAGCTAGCAATGAACCTTGTAGGTGAGAAATGGGTGTTTCAGATGAAAAAATACACTAGATGTAACACTGCCGATATCAGGGGCCTGTAACCATAGCAAATGTCTTTTGGTGTTGGACTGCATTAGTGTTGGAGGGTAAAAGGGTTTGAGGGAGCTCAGTCCTGACACGGAGGCAGCAGGCAAAATAAAATGTCTGTGAATCAGTATCCACACCAAAACAAGTAAGGAGAAGTGCCTGCAAACCAAAGGTGAGGTCAGAGAACCAGTGGAAAGGAAGAGGAGAACCACAGGATGGGAGAGGACAGAGTTGGGGCTGGGACATTCCTGTGCTCTGCAGCAGCACTGTCACCTCCTGAGAGGGCTGTGTCTGGGACTGGGTGACAGGAGTCTCCAGCAGGTCTCTAGCCTGTGGTTAGACCCAAGCTCCTGAAAATCCACAGGTAAGGGAAGCACAAGCCACTTGGCTGGTCCCACTGTTGTAAGGGTGAGTCCTCTGTGCTCCAGACAGAAATAACCATCCTCCATCTCGTGGCAGGGGTGTAAAGGAGAGGCTCTAAGAACTGTTCAGATGGATTCCCAGAGCTCAGTGGAAAATTTTGTTCCATGCAGGAGCTTTGGGCCTGTGACTCCGCCCCTGTCAGTACCTCCCTGCTGCTGGGGACAGTGGGATGTGGCTCTGGACATGGGTGATAGTGAGAGCTGGCATGGTCCCAGCCTTCTGCTTGGGTTGCAGGGCTCAGGTGGGTTCTCTGCCTGGAGCCTGGGCTTTGTGGTGCTGGTGGGACTGAGCGACCTGCTGGTCTGCTCCTGGGCTGGGGGAAGATCATAGTCAGCGTACTCTTGCTGCAGCGGGGCTGAGAGGTGAGGTACAAACCTTTTCTCAGCGGGGTCTGTTAACAAACCCTCCTCCTCCTGTTCCTCTGCTGAGGGGTTATGGATCTGCAGTGGGCTGCTGTGCTGCAGCTGGAAGTTCATGGCCTTGCCAGCAACTGGCCCCGGACTGTACCTGCGAGACAAACCCAAGGCATACTGTGAGACGTGCTCAATCCCTGACTGGCAGCTGGTCTTGACCACTCACTAGTCCCTGTTCTGCTTTTTCTCTCTCCTTTTGCCATCCCCATCTTACCAATAACAAGTGTTGTCCATCAGTCTCCCCAGCTAGCAGCTGCCCAGAAGCTATTTCAGCAGTGAAAAGATGGTTGATAGAGCTGCCTCAAACACACTTCCCCCTCACTGAGCTTGCAGCATCCTTGAGCAAAATTCCAGTGATTCTGGTATCGTTACGCCATGGCTTTGGCAGAAGGCTAAAGCATTTTCTATGGGACATTGCAAATCCACATTATAGAACCCGCTGCTCAATTTTGTGCTTCCATCGATTTGTAGTGGTAGGATGTAGCGTTACAACTTCTAACGGTCGACATGGAAATACTTGAAATATTAATAGGCAGCTGTTGCGTTCATGTGCTAGAGTTATCTGCAGTTCTGACTTCAATGCCGATGGCTTGCAGGCACAAATTTTAATCAGCAATGGAGCTTGAGGTGCTGCCTGCTCTGGAGATTGCCAGATTTCCCTTTATAGAACCCAGCATTCAATTCTAAACCCAACTGTCTTGGCTGAAATATTCTGTCAGGTGCCTGCCTTCTTTGGAAACTACCCTTAGGCTAGCAGTGTACCCAAAAAATTAAGCCAGAGCAAAGAAATAGGCTTACCAATGCACGTACACTCCATCTGGCTTTCAGAAGTGCTGGCCACCTTAATCTGGTACATGATTGTTTTGCACAAGGTCAGAGATGAGGCAGGGAGTGACAGCGTGGATAAAACACTCAGCAGCTTACCTGAGAGCTGGGTAGAGAGGAGAGGAGATGGAGCACGCGACTAAATGCAGGAACAGGAGCAGGGTGGCCTTATCCAGCATCTTCCACCCTTTGGAGTCACCTGAAAGGCAGAGCAGTCCAAGTCAGCAACCATGAGATGCTCAGGGCCAGGTGGGGAGGCCAAGTGCCGCCTTTGTGTTCTTGGTCCCCCTGCTCACTTACTGGCATGAATGGGCTGAAAACATGCCTTCGTGTTTGTGGTTGTGGTGTTTCCCAATGCAGAGGTGTCTTGATGTGGCAAAGTCTTCCCCAGGGAGCGCAACTCCTGGAGGCAGTGGCTGTGTGTGACCCCTCAGGGAGCTGGAGTCTCCCTTGGGTGGGGAGGCAGGGCTGATCAGCAGGGTTTCACGCTGTGGGACCCTCTGATTGACCTGTCCCACTGCTGTGGTTGAAGGAGAGCTCTCAGGCTGGGGTGAGCCCCAGGGACCGCTGCATGGGCTGTAAAAGCACCTGGATGCTGGAGGGCAGCGGTAAGCAGGGGCTGCCAAAAGCAACCTTACTGTCTGCGCAGGACGATCTGCGACCAGCCCCTGGGACCTCTCCTGCCCTCCACTCTCCTGGGGACGTGTGTCTGCTCACATGGCTGTACAGCACAGGGCCCTGCATAACAGCTGGTGGGGCTGCCTCCCTGGCTGTCCAGAGATTGGGGAGAAATAGCGACATCCAAATAAAATTCCTGGGCAGGGGGATAACACTGGCCCAGAGGTAACCCTGGCAAACCCATTTATTGAAGGCAACAGTGCTGAGCTTGGTTAGTCGAACAAAATGCAGGCTGTTCCTTCCGTCGTCGTGCTTGAGGAGAGGAGGGGCTGGACCGAAATAGGTCCTTTCAGGAGAGCTGAACTGCTGCTGTGTCAAGGGGAGACACACCCCCCCCCGCGCCCCAGCGCTCAGCGAGGCGCCTACGCAGCTCTGAGCAGCAGCGTCGGTGGAAGGTGAGATGGACTCAAACGGTGTGTGCCTGCCCTCCGACAGACGGCTTCGTGCTTGGCGGCCTGGGGCTGGCTGAAGAGCTGCGAATGACTCAGGACAGAGTCAGCCTGAGGTCGAGCACCCTCAGAGCTGAATGTGAGCTGAATGCCATGCTTTTGTCATTGGAAGCGAGGGACGGTAGGAAGGTATTTCAGTGAACACTCTTCCTGAGTTTTGATTGAAAGTGATTGATCTTTTGCTCAAAAAAGATTCTTTAAGAATGTGGATAGAAATCTTTAAAATACCAAGTTTCCATGTTCCCTGTCTTATTTTACACTAGAAAAGAGCAGAAAGATGTTTGATCTCTATAAGAGGGAAAAAAAAAAACCTTCCAAATGTGTAACAACACTTTCATGCAAAAAGAGCAGTTTCCAAAGGCAAAGGGTTTGGTTGGGCCTTTAACTGCCCGAGTGAGCTTTCCAAGCAGTGGGTTTTACTGACGGTGGCGGTAGGAGGGGGCCCTTTCTGATGGAAAACATCAGCAGTGGGCTCTGCTTTACTGCTCGGACATAGCTGCCCGCTCTCCTGATTGAAGATCAACATAGCAAGGGGAAGGCTAATTAAGGACCGGCAGCCTTGCAAATGAGTCCGATCTTGATACCGTGGAAGTTAATAACAGGATTAGCGGCAGCGTCAGAAGTGCATGGACAGACATGGGAAAAGGTGATGCACTAAGAAATGGGGTCTCTTATCACAGACTCGTTCTCAGCCCCGTCCCTGTTTCCAGCTGCTCCTGCTCCCAGCCAGGGGACCAGAAGCTTCCTCATCTCTTCCTTGGGAGCAGTGCCCTTGCTCCTGGCTCCAGCAGAGCTTCGTGTGAACTCATGGTGGCATCCCTTACCTCTGATACCTGGTCTCTTACGGAATCGCTCTGGCCCCTCAGAGAGCTGAGGAATGCTCAGAAGAAGAAAAAAAAAAATGACTTTGAGAGAGTTATGGGGCTTCTGGTTTTAGAGCAAATCTGCTGGTGCCTCTTTTTTTTCCCTTTTTTCATCTGAACTTGAAAAAGCGTGCCTCTTGTGCTTCTCCCCTAAATATCTCCAAGACAAATCCCAAATCAGATCCGTCTAGAGAGAGGAAATGATCTAAAGCATCTGCCAGGGGTACCAGGAGACTGTGGCATCAGCATCTAAGAACACATAGGAAGTGCCAAACAGGAGACTTAGTCAGTACCAGGAAAGCTACAATGAGAAGTTAAGTATCAATGTAAATGAAAACCTAGCCCAGTGTTGTCTGCATCCCTTTTCTCTTCCTAGGATACAGCCCTGATTATCACTTTTTTTCTGTGTGTGTTTCTCTTCTTTGAATGATGGATTTTTCTCCAGAATCACTTTTTGTCCCATTTTTTCTTTCTCTACTATTAGTTTCTTTGCAATATTTTGTTGATTTGTGTTTGGCTTTGCCTTTCTTCAGCTGTCTTTCTCTGTCTTTTCTCCCTTAACTATACAGTCTGCTTCCCATCCCAGCTTTTTGGGTATTTCTGTCTCCCTTTTTCCCTTGGGAAGGAGTCTGAAATGAAAGTCCTACACCCCTTCTCAGAAGTGTCTGCTGTTTCAGATGAGAAGCTGGGGAAGTGAAGTGTCAGCCTGCATACACCTCTGCAAAACCTTGTCACCGTCAAAATTCTGAGGTGAGGGACACCTTCCTTTCCATTCTGGCAGCATGTGAAAAAATGATTAATAAATAAATTCCCCCTAAGATGAAGAGCTTTTAGCGCCATTCTAGCAGATAAAGTGTAACAGTTTCGTACCATCCTGTGCCACGCTAACAGCAGCACTGTGACAATGAGGTTGCAGAGGTGGGGTAACTATCTCTTACTGTTTCTGAAACGTTAACCTGAGCAGTCTTAAAAATACCACTATGTAGATGAAACGAAGCTTTTACCATGCCTGCTGTTTCAGAAAGTTCAGACTTTTATGCTACGAAATACCTCATTAGAAAAGCAGAAATCCTTTTAAGTGCCTTACTCTGCCTCGTTGGAGCTGGCTTCGCGTTATCTGTAACACACTGTTGCGTTTCTCCTCGCACTTTGGTTTGGCTCAAACACAGATTTATTGAGGGGTGAGTAAAACAGCGCTCTTTTTCCAGGATAAAAAGAACTCGCATCAGTATAGCAAAAGAGGAAAACTGTTCTACAGCTAGTAAACGTCTTAACATGTTTTACAATGCTCATCTATATTGTCATTCTGTTGATTTGCATTTATTCTATAGTTCAATTATTGTTTCATTCTCTAACTGGGTACAGAAAAGTCTTGTATGGTACAAAGGATATTGTACCAGGCAAAGCCAATTACTGATGCCAGCATTGATTGCATTTCAGTGTAATTGAATTGTCTCCCATTTCCAAATAGACGTTACCTTGTTAAATGCACATACAGAGACTCACACTTACCGTTCCCTTAGAAAACAGGCGCTTCCTAGATCGGCTCCTGCCCAGGTGTTTCCTTCCCCTGTCACGAATACAACTTCTTCTTCTCTAGAGCTGCCTCTGGGAGCCCCGTCCCTCCGCGCGGTGCCGGGCAGGACCCGGGCCGGGGGCTGAGCGGGGAGGACACTCTCGGATCTGCCCCCAGCTGTCCTCTGGCTGCCAGGGAGGTGCATCTCCTCTTTTATACCTGTGCTCCCTCAGGAGTCCTGTGGGCTTCTACGCGTCAGAGAATCAATTATCCTCCTGAATTTCAAAGGCTGTGTTTAGCATCCTCTTTTTTGTGTGTGCAAGGACGCAGGCAGGGAGGTTGCGGGGAGAGGGTTATGTCTGCAGTCGAGGGGCAGTGGCATGCTTTCTCTTTATCGTTCAAAGAGGGAAGAGCAAACAATAACAGTGATCATCTGGCAGAGTGAATGACAAATTTGCTTTTTTTTTCCTTCGCAACTGCATTTTTTCCTCCTACTCCGCAATGAGTGTTAACCATTAATACTTTCTCACACTGCCTGCTCAGGAGGGTTTATCTTTTTGCTATTTTCTTTTTCTTTGATTATCGGCCTTTTCCTCCTTCTCCTTTGTTGCTCACACCTGCTAGCATTAGCGGGGCAGTTCATGCCTCAGTCCCTCGCAAACATCACAGCTCCACATCAAGCTTCACACAAAGCAGCTGGAGAGCCCTGCTCTGTTCATGTGCTCTGGAAAAAGTAAGGGTCTTCCCTGGGGTGCTGCATGCACTGGCAGCTGTTTTCATTCCTGGAACAAGGTTTATGAAAGCCCCATTAAAAAGAACACGTAGCCTTGGTGCCAAGAAGACCAGGACAGTTCAGAGGAGTTAAAAATGAGGTGCCAGCATGAGCTCCACCTGCCACATTTTTCATATTGACTTTATAATGCCCAGAATTGATGGGGACCCAGACCTTCCTGTCTCGGCGCTTGTGTGACTTGATGCTGCAAAGAAGTTTGTCAGCAGTTGAGGTGACTCATCTGTGCCTGCTGCCGAATACCTTCGCCTCGCACCAGAGCGCTTGACGCAGCCGTGGCAGAGAGGGATTGTAGGGAAGGACGGTGCATCGGGTGTGCACGTGGGTGGCTGTGTGTGCAAGGGGTCAGAAGCACTCAGCGCTGGTCTAACTCTGCCGTTGCCCCTTTGCTTCTTGCTGAGGTGGGAAATCAGCACTGTGGTTATGGCTCACCACTTAGTGAAGCAATGTCCTCCTTCCAAACCGTGGGCTCTCAGTAAGCAGGAACCCAACAGTCGGAAAGGCCTGAGTGAGCTCAGCACACCAAATAGCTCTGGTGTTACATAAAGGTCTCTCTATACGTAGGCAGATGTGCGCCAACGCCTTAGGGCTCTCCCTGCTTTGAGTGCTCCAAGGGCTCACGTTCCCTGTGGTACCAAATCAGGACCGGGCCACTTTGCAGAGAAATCATGAAAAAGGATTGAACGGACCAAAGCAGGAGCTTGAGCTGAGCCTGAACCGAGCAGCTGACCAGGGCCCTTCTAGTGGAATCCAGAAAGAGAACAACAACATGAAGAGAAGCAAGAATTACTGCCTTCCTCCAGCTGTTAAAAGAAATGGCACCAGCCTGTTCATGGGGAGAGGATCTGCTGTGTAAATGAGGCAGGTAAATCATTTGCCTCAT